ACCCACCCGAGAAGTGTTTGGGAGCAGCAAGAACCAAATGGGGAAACTGCTGCAAGAAAGTAAAGGCATTCCTTGTAAATGGGAGACCCGCAATGAAAATCAACCACCTTGCCTAGGGTACCACAATAGCAGGTGTTTTTCTCCAAAAAGTCTCAACGGAAGAACCCCCAATCCATCTCCGGGATACTCAGCAGCAAGCTAAATTGAGAAGGTTTTGGGAATCTAGCCTGCGCTGCTGTAAAAATATCCTTTGATCAATGGGTTGACTCATCAGCTGGACTCCCATACCCGGCCGGAGGGAGGCTCGGGAACTTAACGCTCAGCTCCCGCGACAGGCGCATGATGTAATCCTCGTCCCGGATCTGCATCCTCGTGTGTCCGCGCGAACTTGCGAAGCTTCTGCATGCTGCATCCCGAGTGTCCTTTTGGATTAGCTTGGCTGAACATAGATGGTGTGGGTCTCAGTTTAGTTGAATGGTAATTTACCGTTTGCCCATCAATGTTCTACTTGTGTAGGAAGCCCAGGCCCAAATCAATGCGCACTGAAGCATAAAGCTGAGAGACACGCAGAAGGAAGAGTGGCATACACGATCCATTCAAGGTGTCCTTGGGAGGTGGGCTCGTAGCACCGCAAAGGAGGTCACGAAGCAGCGAAAGCATCCACCAGTTGACAGACACCCAAGGAAAGGCCACAACACACAAATGGCAAGCCTCCCGACTCGAAGCGCGAGGAATAATACACACCATGGCTGCAGAATAAGCTGGCCCGGCTGAAATGCTGCTGCGCGTTGGCCTCCAGGGTCAGAAAGCTGCACAAATAACGCACCAAAAAGCTCCAGGCGAAAGCAGAAGCGTCACGGAACCCAGTGCGAAGTGCATAGTGAACACGCCGACCAGGCCAACACGTCGCTGTTCCCAAAAAGCAGAGGCAGACCAGGACTGATCAAGCGGCTGCAAGCTTCACGAACGTCGAGCGAGACCACAACGACGAAGAAGGGGTGCGCCCCACACCAAGTCCAGTTCGGAGCGTGGATGAAGGGCAAAGCCTCCAAACACGCACAGAAGGATTCCTTGGCCTCGTCCATGAATGAGGACAGGGAGCACCACGCGTGCCATGGCAATGCAATGATGCACTCCGGGGGTGGCGAGAAAAGCAAAACCAAACACGCCGCCCCACGGAGCCACCATCGCTTGCTAGACGCCAGACGCCTCTTGCGGAGAGGTCGCCTGGCCCCGGCTGGGCAAGCCTGAGGTGAGTTGCTGTGAGCCGAAACACCTACAAAGAACCCACATCATGGCAAGCTTGTTTTAACCCCCCCCCCCCCCCAGATAAAGTCAATCCTCCAAGCAGTAGGTTAAACGCCTCCGGCTTCCGTCTTTGATAAAACCCTTCACTCCTATCTGCAAGCCAAATCTGGTGGTTGTCCTTTTGGCTTCCAAAATCAAACAGAGGAACAATACCTCCCCCCCTTTCCAAACCCAAAAACACACCCGAGAGCTTCGTCCCAAAATGGGCCAAACCGCCGGCTGCCGTGCTTTTCCACGGGCGTCCCCTCAACCCAAAGGCGTCCACAGAACCCCACGGCCCGCGCCGCTCCCCGCCCGGGTCCTGGCGAGGGCGTTGGCGGCGGTCGCCAGCTGCCGGGCGTTGCTCTGCGGCAGCAGCCGCGCCAGGCGCGCGCCGTAGGCCTCCGCGACCTCGGCCGCCTCCGGCAGCGGGGCCCTGGACGGAGCCGCTTGGTGGAGTGGGGGGTGGGGGGGGGTGGGGGGGGAGTGGGGGGGGGAAGTGCTGGCAATACGAAACTAAGCAGTGGCAACACCAAAGCGATACTTAAGTCATCCAAGCTCCAGGCCAGATCCGTATTCAGGATGCCCCAGCACTGTTTTGACTGTTGAGAAAGGGGGGGCCGTGCCCCTCTGATAAGAAAGAAAAACTGCGTAGCCTTAAGGAAAAAATATTTCATGGAGGTATAAATTAAGTGGATGGTAGAAACAACAAATGGTTGGTATACTGTGGTTGCGAAATCCATTTTGCACCATTCGGAATCCGTGGTTTCTGATTCGATTCCTTGTAAATACCAACAACAGTTCTGGTATTAACCATGGTTTCGAAGTGGTGCGGAATGGATTTCCCATCCACGGTAGGTCTGCCAGGCTCGACCAAAAAACGCTCAAGTATCAATTTCGGAGAACAAAAAGGAGGTCCGACAGGGTGCCATATTTTGCTCGGGTGACGCAGGTCTCAAGCTTGCGCATTGGAGGTGTCCTTTCCCGGTTCCTCTCACACCCTGGGCAAATAGGATCTCCAAGGGTGATTCCTCATCTTTGTGCGAGCGCGGTTGCGGGCGTCTGTTGTCGGGCTCCTTTCATTGGATCAACCAAAAGCGGTTGGTAACCCTGCGGCAACAACCACTGACTTCATGTCCAAGTCCAGAAAGTCAGCTCAAAATAGAATGGCCCATTTGAGGCCCGACCTCAAACATGTCAATTAATTCATGCATCCGCTCCTCCTATTCATGAATTCACCCAATTCATGAAGATGGGTTATCCTATCATTAGGGCGATCCGTATATATATATATATATGTATCTTCTGTTGACTTCACAAGCATTCCACACTTCTATTGTCTTGGCCAAACGTTGGGACGCTTGCCAAAAGTGAGAACTGCTTGCTGGCAAAGAAGCCCAGGGCAACAGGGCGCAAAGAACCCCTGGGCAACAGGGCGCAGGGCGACATTCAGGCAATGAAGTGGCTTTCCTTTCCTCCCTGTTGGAGCATCAACCAAGAGTGCTTGGTACCCCTGGGGCAAAACAATTGGTTTAAGTTACTCTTAATTTCCCCAATACAAAACCAAACATCCAACACATGAATTGTTTTTTGTGGTGGTTCTTTTGTTCCTCCTTTTGTCCGAGCGTGGCGAGTAACCCTGCGCAAATAACCAGCCTGTATAGCAGTTTGTGTCCAAATGGCTTGGAACTCCAGTTTCCCTTTGGTCCCAAGGGATCCCTTCAGTTTTGCTGCCCACCCCCACCCAACTCCCCTCCCCCCCGCCCGCCACCTGCCCGGAAGGTTGGAAGAGGAGCCGCTTGAATGGAGCCCAACTCCCAAGCCAGACAGAAGGTTGGAGCAACTGGGGGTGTCCCTGGTCTTACTGGGGATTGCTCACTTTTGGAGGGGCCCCCGCCCCCAAAAAAAACACTCGGATTGATTCATAGGGGGTCAACCTGAAGCTGATCCAACCCACCCCCACCCGCGGCATGACGCGCCTGGAGCAGGCGTTGAGCACCCGCGCGGCGCACTGCGCATCCGCGCGCCGCAGCGCGCTTTTGGCGCGCTGCAGGTGGCCGCGCCAGGCGCCCAAGTTCTGACTCCTCCGCCGCGCCAGGGCCTCGCAAAAAGAAACCGGAGGCAGACGACATGCCGCGCGAAGAACGAAAACAAGGGAACCAACCAGCCAGCCAACCAACCAACCAGCCAACCAAACAAATGAACAAATAAACACATACACAAAAGCAAACAAAAAGAAACAAGCACAAAAAATACCAAAAAACAAAAACAAACCCAAAACAACAAGAAAAACAGATCAATCAAACAAAAACGACTCAACGACTCCACCTGCAGGCTCTTGGCCACCAGCAGGGGATCCTCCGGCTCCGGGTCCGCCAGGTCCCCGCAGCCGCGGCGCCCGAGGGGCAGGGCCGCGCGGACGCGGACGCGGGCGCGGAGGGCGCGCATGGCGCCATGGGACTGGAGGCCGCTGGAGGGGTGAGGGAAGGTGGGAGTGGCTGGTGGGTGGCTGGGGGTTTGGAGGTGGAGGGGTTTGGAGGTGGAGGGGTGGAGGGGTGGAGGGGTGGAGGGGTGGAGGGGTGGAGAGGTGGAGAGGTGGTGGGACGGTGTGGTGTGATGAATTGGGTGAACTAAGAGTTCTGATGCTCCGCAACATGGCTGGGCGATCAGATTGAAAGCATCCATCAGGGGCGCATGTGATATCTGTTGCCGGCAGGGTGTGGCGGGGCGAGATGCGAAAAAGAGTCGAGAAGCAGCTGGAAAGCTGCGACTTATCTTAAGGCTTTCTAGGTCTGGCCCTTAGGTGGGGTGGTTTCTCCTCATCGATCGCTTCAATTTGAGCCTGGTTCTGCCCGCCCGTGGATGCCGAACGCTGCCGCAAGAAGACGTGTAGTCATTTGGGGGCGGGCAAATGACTCACCGAAGTCAACCACGTTCCACCGGCTGCCTGGCTCGTAAGGGCACCCTCCACTCCTCCGCCGAGTGGAGGCAGTCAGGCCAACGAAAAACCAACCAGCTGAGCCTTTGCGACCCCCCTCCAAACATGCGACTTGGAACCTGCAGCTCCATCAAAACAGAGGCTGCGCCGCGCAGACATGCCTCAGCTGCCTCAACTGTGCAAGGGGCATAACGTAGAGGCAAAACACAGTGTAGTGAGTATCAACAAGGGTTGGCTTCTGGCATATCACATCAAAGCAGGAATATGCGAATGTCGGCCCTTTGAATAGTGATCCTGAACGATGGTCAACGTCCCAAAGGAGTGATGTCCCTCACCCCACGATAGTCAGTATATGAGTCATGTCAGCCAACGCTCCAGTTCATTGGAAAGTGGGCAGACTCAACCGAAGAGACATGCTATTGGACAAAGAATGAAAAGGCCGCACCCATGTATGGTTGGGATTGTCCGTTGCTCATCTTCAATTCTCCGGAAACTGGTTGCGGCTGAGTAAAACAGCTATTTGGGTATGCCTCTTTTTTGGGGTTACTAGGACAAATATGAAATAGACACTGTTGCCTAAAGCAACTCTGTGCCAGCCTCAACTCTAACTCTTCGAGTGCTCTACCCAAATAAGGTGATTGAAAAAAAGAGACCAAAAAAAAAGAAGACAAAAAAAAAAAACACGACCCCCTAACAATATAGACCCCCCAGAGACTGCCCATCGATCCACAAAAAAAAGAACGCCGCGAGCCCGGCGCGAAGTCTTCTCTCGCGCCTCCCGCAGGAGGGCCTCGGCCTCGCCGTGCTGGAGCTTCATCTCCTGCCAAAATCCCTGGGGATGGGGATGGATGGGGATAGATGCGGATGGACGGGCCGGGGGGGGATGGGGATGGGGATGGGGATGGGGATGGATGGGGATTGGTGGGATGATGGACGCATAGGGTCTATTCTGCAACCGCTCCATTTAAACATAGACTGCAAGTGTCCGTGGGGGAGGTTCTTGGACCACGCCTTGGACGTCAACTCCAAAATGTCTAGGAAGCGCGGACCATTGCATTGGCCGCGGCAATGCCTCTGCTGCTGTCCGACTAGATGGCTGTGGTTGATGATTGCAATAGGTCTACCAGGGCCCTTGATTTCTCTAAACTGTTCGGAGCTTCGGTGTGAAGCTTTGGCCAAATCCCTGGTTGTAGGTCCTGTGGAGGTGGGAAGCTAGCCCCACATTGCTACTTAGGAAAATTGTCCATGGAGGTCCCTTCAAGCGGATGTTGTTTTTCAAAGTCCAGAATCCTGGCAAAATTGACCCCTGACGATGTTCTTCTCGCGAAGCTGACCAAGAGCGGATTGTTTCGATCGGATGCTGAATTCCGAGATGAAGACTTCAAACATCTCAGCCTACAGGGAACGGTGCTAATGCTCATGGGGCGCATCTTCACCTGCAATGCAAGTGCGCTGCAGTTGCCTGAGAGTGACTTTCCCCCCCCAACGCCTTACTGGAATTGTGCTAAAAAATCTGCGAGCAGACTAACGTTGACCCCATATTAATAAACCCCAGTTTATTAATAGGGGGGGGGGTGTCCATTTCTGGGTTTAGTGGGGAATCACTTTTGGAGGGGCCCCCACCCCCCTAATAATACACCGGGGCTGACTAATATGGGGTCAACATTACCTGTCTTCACAAGCCCCTTTCGCCTTTTGCGGGGTCCGTCACACGGCGACCGCCACCACAAAATCGCCACGGCTCCTCGTGCTTGGCACGCTCCTCCGCCAGGGCCACCTGGTCCCAAAATTTGGGCGACGCGACCCGCGCAGGCATTTCCTGGGAAGAAAATCGGCCTGAGGCCTCTTTAAACCAACCTGGGACCGGGGATCCTCAAAAAACCACATCCCCTAAGGTATGAGACATGTTGATTTCCCAATTGATGCTAGCCCTGAAGGGCACCAAAAAAAATGATCCCTTTCAAATGTATGACACACAAGTAAGAAAACATGCATTCTGCCACAGGGTATTTGCAAACGAGCACCCTTGAGTGTTGATTCGATGTTTCCTTTCTTCCGGAAGCCGCACTTGCATGTTTGGTGAAAAATCTACAACTGCTGCAACTGAAAGAACGGAATGAGAAAGAGAAAGGGAGGAAAAGGGGGAAATCGCTGAGTGTTGGCTGTTACCGCAATATCATCACAAAATTGCAAAACAACACAGGCTGCGCTCCTATGAAAACCAAATGAAAAAACGGGCAACCACGACTTTTGCAAGGGTCGGTCCTCCCATCAATCGCATCGCATGACTTCAAATGTTCGCCTCTCAGACTGTCAAGGCCATAGTGGCCATGCTTTAGCTTGCTACACGGGCAGACCTCCGGGCAAAAAAGGGAGCAATCGTTTGGGTTGGCGTTATATATTGGGAAAAACAGTTTGCACTCATTTGCTTCTGTTTGGAAATCTGCCCCCCCCCTTATGAACCTGCAGGCTCTCCTCCGTACATGCTAAAAAACCAAATCCTCCAGCAGAGAAATACAGTAGTGTTGTGACAACGGTGACTGGACGCAAACACACAAGGGCTTGTCTCAACATAGGGGTAGCTTTTGGCTTCTCTTTTAACCAACCAAACAAAAAGTACATCCAAAAAAGACACGCCCCGATGGTCGTGCGATGTCATGCGGTGCTTGTTGCTGCCCAGTGCTACCTGCACACATGCTCGACCGGGCAAGCCTGCTACCTGAGGGCATACCACGAGGAAACTTCTGGCGTTTGCAACGACAAAAAAACTATGCTGATTCATCAGCCAGCAAAAAACATGGACCCACATAGAAAGGATCAAATCATCATGGGTGAAACTGGTCGCAAGCCAAATCCGGGTTAGGAGTCGATCGCGGTCCATTGCCCAGAATCTGTAAACGATTGTTTGCACCCATGACTAGAGAATCAAGTGGCACTTTAACAAATTGGACCTGAGAGGAGAATGGCTTTTGATTAGTTGGATTACAACACACCCGGTTTGGACAAACAACAACGTGTTTTTGCGAGTTTGGATGAATGTGACATGTGCCAGGACCCGAAAGAGACATTACAAAACAACCAGCCACAACTTGTTGGAAAAGAGAAACCAAAAAGCGAGTGGAGTTGATGCCCACCAAGAATATCAACCGAGAAAAACCTTGGGTGCAAGTTGATGGCACCATTCCCGGTAGATGCGGGCACGAGTCACCATAAATGGATTGGAGTTGTGCCATCTAATTCGCCAACTGTAGAAGGCTGGGGTGAGACTCCGGAAACTCTGACGTTGCCCAGTAGGATCACTCAAACTCTCCTGCAAACTAACATGCAACTATAAATTTGAGGAAAAGAATCTCCCTTGTGGCGCATGGACCCCTTTTTGGGGGCAACCCATATTGATTCGAAGAAGGCCCTGGCCCACATCCGGCCCACCAGCCGCCGAAGCCTTTCTGCCGAAGCCCGGCCTGCGCCGAGCGCAGCGCCTGGTCGGTGCGGCTCAGCTGCGCCGTGATCTTCTCGAGCTGGCCTTCCTCGGGAGCGGAGATTTGGCGCCTCTCTGCCCCTAGGGACCCAGAAATCAAAGGTGATCTTTGGGGCCATGACTAAAACTAGACCAAAAAGGCAAAAACAAAAGGTCCAAAGGTCGATTCGCTTTGGGCAACTGAGCTCTTCCTTCCAGGTGGCTTGGAGACCGCTTTGGATTGCTTTGGATCGGGGTGGCGTTTTTTCCTCTTTTTTTTTGTGGTGCCTCCTCGTTGCTTTCCCTCTGTTTTTCACTCGGAGCCCCCGAAAAATGGCAAGCCTCCCATCCGGTTCCTTAGCAGGGGATCTGTTTGGATTGGTGGTTCGGCGCTTGGGGGTGGCTTCCCATTCACCCTCAACAACTCACCAACGTGGGGATACTTGATTTACGAAGATCTGAGATGAAACAAATACATCAGCATACATCTGCAGAGCTTCTAAAAGAACTGTTTATGCACGGAACATATACATGGCAGGCATAGTAGACATAATATGCAAAATATGCATGTCTCGAAAAGAACATGTACAATTAAGTATATGTATATTATATATATATAGAACATGAGACTGCACCTCTACAACTTCAAAGCCCCAATGGCAACATTGAAGTGGATCCGCAAGTCCTGTCTGCGCTTCAATGTGCTACCGACACGTGGAACCAAAGGCAAAACATCTCGCCGAACCGTCACATGCTTCTGGCGCGCGTCTCGATGGAAACTCGCCAACAGCCCCAGCTCCAACAGAGGCAGCGCAGCCTGTAAAGAAGCCACACCTTACCCTCTGGAGTGTCAGAGTGGTCTGCCCTCCAAGCCAACCAAAGCCGTCTCTGCTTCGACCGACTTACGCTCCAACCAAACCCGTCTCTGCTGCGACCGACTTGAAGACTACTTTGTCCATGTGCAGCAGCTTGGCATGCGCAGCGGCTCTGTGACAGTGACGTCTCTGCTTGGATGGTGACAGGTTGAGAAGCCCTTTGACAGATCCCAACGAGCTGGGTAAACCAACAACTCCAGCAGGAAAGTTCAAGCTCCATTAATGCGCCCACAAACGCACATTCAGCTGTCTGCTGAAGAAGGCATTACCTTTCTCAGTCACTGAATTTCGTGAATAAGCTGCTTCACAATGCATCATGTACATCTGTGTTGTATTTGCGGTCATGTGAAAAAGATGGTTGCATGCATTTACGTGCCAGTAGTTATACGTGCGTGCAGTTGCGGTTGCTTGTGTGGTTGATTGCTTCTTTATCTATTTCTTTATCTATCTGTTTCTTTCCTTCCTTCTTTTTTCTTTCTTTCTTTCTTTATTTCTTTCTTTCCTTATTTATTTCTTTCCTTCTTTCTTTATGTATGTGTTTATTTCTTTTGTTTTCTTTGTTTATTTCTTCCTCTAGTGTTGTTGCTTTCATGTCTTTTCTTTTTGCCCCTGTGCTTTCTGTACTTACTGTCGCTTATTCTATGTATTGTTCTTACTTTCTTTATTTCTTGATTGATGTATTTCCTTATTTGTTTCTTCATTTTTTCCTGTCCTTTCTGTTCTGTCCTTTGCTACTTCATTTTCTTTCGCTTCTTCTATGCATTGTTCTTACTCTATTTATTTCTTGATTGATGTATATCGAAATTTGTTTCTTCATTTTTTCCTGTCCTTTCTGTTCTGTCCTTTGCTACTTTACTTTTCTTTCTCTCTTTATTTCTTCCTTGATTTCCTTCTTTCCTTCTTTCTTTCTTTCTTTCTTTCTTTATTTCTTTCTTTCTTTCTTTCTTTCTGTCTTTCTTTTTTCTTTCTTTCCTTCCTTCCTGTCTTTCTTTCTTCCTTGATTTCCTTCTTGCTTTGATTCTTTCTATATGTATTTCTTTCTTTCTGTCTTTCTTTTTTTCCTTCTTTCCTTCCTTCCTTTCTTTCTTTCTTTCTTGATTTCCTTCTTGCTTTCTTTCTTTATATACTTCTTTCTTTCTCTCTTTTTTTCTTTCCTTCTTTCCGTCCTTTCTTTCTTTCTTTCTTTCTTGATTTCCTTCTTGCTTTCTTTCTTGATTTCCTTCTTTATTTATGTCTTTCTTTCCTTCCTTTCTTTCTGTCTTTCTGCATTTATTTCCTTATTTCTGTCTTTCTTTCTTTCCTTCTTTCTTTCCTTCTTTCTTTCTTTCCTTCTTTCTTTCTTTCTTTATTTCTTTCTTTATTTCTGTCTTTCTTTTTTTCTTTCTTTCCTTCCTTCCTGTCTTTCTTTCTTCCTTGATTTCCTTCTTGCTTTGATTCTTTCTATATTTCTTTCTTTCTTTCTGTCTTTCTTCTTTTCTTTCTTTCTTTCTCTGTCTCTCTCTCTCTTTCTGTATTTAGTTCTTTATTTATTTCTTTATAGAAGAATAACATCAACTCAAATGGTCATTTGGACCATACTCTACAGTGTGATCATGTGCCCCGGAATCGCAGTGCCATAGGTTTCCATTCCTAGCCTGAACTGTTTGCATCCTTACATTTGGCTCAAGGCAAAAGTCCGTGGGCGGGGGCGGGTCGAATCCCTTAAGTGTTCCTCGTTTGCGGTTGCCATAGCATACACTGGAATCTGTCACTTGACAGTTGCTTGCACGGATTGCACAACTGGGTTCAGGCGGCGGATTCTTTTGGTTATCAGCCGTATCGCAACGGCTTATTCCTTGCAGCTTGGGTCGACAACTTGATATTGGGTGAACAGCAGCAGGCGCACCTGGTTTTATTGGGTTCAGTTGACGAGCTTCAGGAAAAGTACGACCACTTGCAGCTTGGAGCGACTACTTGATCTTGAGTGAGCAGCACTTGGGGGCATTGGGTATAGTCGACGAGCTCTTGGGGATCCCCGATTTATATGCAATCGGAGGAGCAGCGCGACAAGCGTTTCCGGGAAAACGGGTTGCCTAGGACGAGAGGCAAGAGGGCCGGGAACCCGAATCGTCCATCGCAGCAAACGCAGAGCAGGCCGCGGACGTCTGCAGCGTCACATCGTGGGCCATCGATCGACATCGCTCCTCGGGACTCAGACATAGCTATCAGGACAGCGCCTTGGCGACAAACGGAGTCCAGACGCGCACCTCCAGAGACAGCTGTTTGGGAAGAGGAGGAAGTGGTAGAGATCGAGGTATCTGATCAGGAGGAGGTAGAAATCGAAGAATCTGATCAGGGGGTGAAGGCGGAAGACCAGGCGGGATCTTCTACGAGCCGGGCACCACATCCGATACCAGAAGGCATTCGTGGAGTCATCGAAAAGACAGCGCTGTTTGTCCTGCGTGTTTCTGAGGGGCAGCGACCCAATTATATTCGACAGATTCGAAAGGAACAGGATCCACAGAAGTTTGGTTTTCTGTTGCCGGAGAACGAATATCACTGGTACTTTTTGGAGTGCTTGAATATCGGGTCGGCCAAAGAACTCACAGCTGAGACAGAGGCGAGTCATTCGACCAGGAAGCCTGTACCGGAGCCGGCATCAGCTTCATCGACACCAGCACCGAAGCGCTCGACGGGCGGTTTTGTGCCCGAGCCACCGGTTGAGATCAGAGGCTTCATTGAGAGCATTGCCCAGAGTGCTGCAGAACACGGTGACGATTGGCAGTGGGAGGTATATAGAAAACAAGATCGCACAGCGTACAGTTTTCTACATCCAGGACACAAGTACCACAGATTTTTTCTGCAGCAGAAGGAGCGTGCGTTGGCAAACACTGGCCAGGCGACGTATTTACCGACCGAGGCGCCGGAGACGACAGACGCAGAGGCGGAGCGGCCCCTAGTTGGCATCGATTGGCATCAGACTTTGGAGCGAGACAACGAGGTCTCCCCTGAGATCGCAAACGCCGTCAAAGCCTTGCAGCGGGTCGCAGACGTGCACATATTCTCCTTTGTCGGTTCAGACACTCGATTGAGAGATACCAGGGACAAGATTGCGGCATCACCAGTTGCTGATCTTGAGGTTCATTTCTCAAGGCGAAAATCCTGGCAATTTTCTGCTATCACACGTAAGGGGGTGGACACGAGAACCAAGGCTCAGCAGTTTTTGGATTCTGGCGGCCTGTGCCTGATTGACGATCAGGAGACCATCCTATCTGAATTGAAAGGGAGGTGGGAGCAGGCCGGACTTCCAGCAGAAGCTGCGCCGTGGGGTGTTCTTGTAACCACTTCAAAGGACGTGGAGTTGCAGATTAGGGTCCTGACACGGAAGCTTTCGCATCAGCAGTGTAGCAACACGCATCCGAAGCCATCGCAGAGGAAGGAGCTGTGGTCACAGGCAAGCCAGTAGATCCGTGGGAAGGTGAAAAGATGTCCGATCGGTCTCGAGATAGCCGGAGGGACATTCGTGCAGGGATGTCAGCAACTCCCATAGGTGCATCACCAAGTCAGCCTTCCAGTTCAGATTCTAGTGGCCTCATGCAGGATGATCCCAATCATGTCGCGTTGCAATTGACTCCGAGCCAAGGAAATGATCCAAATCGTGATTCGTTGCAGTTGACCCCATCGCCTACTGGGCAGATGCAAACCCCAGAGTTGATGCCGCCTCCACGGTCGCCTGCTATGCTTGGTGTTTCTCAGGCTAATGTTTTGAACGCCCCGCAACAGCATAATACCGTGGAAGCCACCTTCAACGACGGTAGGACGTATCAGCAAAATGTGCTTAACCAGACAGCAGTGTTGACATATGACCCCGATCAGATCGAGGCACTTGTTACTGCTAGGGTGGAAGCAGCCTTGATAGCACAACGTGAATCTTTGAGGCAGGAAGCATTCAGTGTGATTCACAGTGCGCAGCAAGACAGGGATGCCTCCATTCATCAAGCACAGAACCATGCTGCCCATGAAATAGGTGTGAGGGATCAGATGCTAAATAGTGCGGATCATGCCCTTCGCGATCGGGAGCAAAGCCTAAACGTTGCGAGGCAAGAGATTGAGCAAAGAGATCATGCGATCAGGGAGTTGTCAGAAAAGCTTGCACAAGCAGAGGTTCTCATCCAAAGTCTCAATGAGTCGGTGCAAAGGAGTCGTGTTCCAGAAC